ATTTCTAGCATTAATACCGAGAATCAAGAAACAATTTTGTCTTCAAAGAATTTGGATAAAGATAATTTATTACAATAATGTAGTTAATGCAGAAGCACATCATACATCTATAAAATTCGTTTTAGCTGAGCTGAAAATTTAGAGTAATTAATAGGGATAAATAAAATGAACTAAATGAAGGGACTAGCGGATTTTATGCACAGTGGGGACCTCGGTCTCAGCACCACCTACTAACTCGGGTAACAAGTCTTCTCTAACTGCGCTAAACCACAGTCTTCAAAAAAAGATTGGCTACACTTCTGAGTAAACATTTTGAGATAGACATTTTTCAGTAAAACTTGCTTGACAAAAATGGGCTTCTCTATATGCGTCTTCCATTAGAAATGTGAACAAACTATCAAGCAAACAAGCTTGTACTAGTTTAATATGAAAAAAACAAATATCAGGTATGGATAAAATTAAATATGTAGATATTCAATATTAAAATAATAGTTTGTGGGAGGCGTTGCGAAAAATATAGGATACAATAATATTGAAAGAATATATGGGAAGAATTTGTACCGACCTATTCAGATCTCTGCTATAGTCATCTAAATAATGCCTAGAAGCAGGAACCAGAGTCCCGCCAAACTGAAGTCCTTTACGACTAGAATCCATTCCACCAGAGAGGACCATCTTGTTATGACGTCGGTTGACTCCAGATGAGCCAGCACCGCCAGCCCTATTTGCTGAGAGTGGCGTGAAACCATTTGCTAAGTGAGAACCAGCAGAAACGTTGCCGGACATTGCGACAGTAGTAGTGCCTCTTGAACCAAGCGAATGAGTTGTCTCAGTGTCCTGCAAGAGAGTGCAGTAGTAGCGCGCAGCCGTGGCCCCCAGTTCTACTGAGATGCGATAATTAGAGATGAGATTTACGAAATGGATTATTTGTGCATATACAGTGCAGGCCTCCTGCTCTTCAAGAAGATGCTGTATCTCTGACGGACGTTGCCGGCCAACACGTAACTCTTCAGCAGCGATCTCTAGAGTAGACATGCGTGATGTGTATGCAGGATGCTGGTAAACGGGTTGTGATGGCTGCAAATAGTATGTCAGAAATAAAGAAGGTTAAATAATAAATTTGAAAGGTGCTATGGAAAGGGATGAGTAACAAAATATTAATCGAAAGTATGAAGACCAAGATGGTGCAGCCTATTGTGCAGTCGCAGTCTCCTTTCGTTGTTTAGAATTTATTTTCGCAACTTGGTCATATTGGTAGGAAGACACAGAGGAATGCACCTAGTCCGGAGTCCATAGTATGTATGATAATTTCCAGGGTCGGACTGTGGATGTGATACATTCCGAAACGTTTAGCCGGTATCGTAGTCGGCATCGCCAGTTAGCTTTGCCATTTTTACCATCACACCGCAACCCGTCAGAAGCAAATGGAGTCGATCTCTTGATCAATAGTCTGCTAAACCGATGTTTTATATATTAGCCTTTCCTAGGGTATTCATTCATCCTATATCCTCGTATCACGCCTTCACTAACACAAATTTTTAATTGCTTATTTAAATGTGATATGGTGTGCACTTATGATCGGATCTCATGAAAATTCTCCACACCTCACTCTGGCTTTGTCACCCTCTCAACCCGCAATCCTCTTTCCATAGGTATTATCACAATCTTGCCCTTGCCCCATAGGAACCGCCTCCTACCTTACTGCATCAGGTATTTCAATCGACCCTTGCCAGCCTATCTGTAGTATTCAAAGCCTTTTTATATGACTGTCCCGAGCCTTTGATTGCCTCTGAGTAGGTCCGTAAAAATCAGGATTCTCGAGCTGGATGCGAGACTAACTTGAGTCTAATGATCCCGAGTAATTATCATGGTCATGGATTACGTCTATGTCAAAGCAGGCCAACTATCAGCCAACTAGCTCGAGTCTTCGCATCGTATATCCTGTTTTTATCCCTAATATCAAGTTTATGACTTCCTATGCCCTAGTCTCTTGTGCGCCAATCAACAAATGTTATGTTACTGCTTGCTTTGAATAGGTTCAGTGTTGAACCACAACAATTGTGGGTTGGCGCACGTAGGACTAGGGCATAGCAAGTCATAGACTTGGTATTATGGATAAAAGCCGAATAGATGCCGTGAAGACTAGAGGTAGTTGACTAACAATAGATGTGGTTCATGGAAAACATCTATCATCAAACACGATATTGTTAGTTAAATAGCTCTATTTTCCACCGCGTCTATCCTGTTTCTATCCATAATAAAAAGTCTATGACATCCTATGCCCTAATCTCTTGTGTGGCAACCTACATATGTTATGGTTCTACTTGTTTTGATTAGGCTCGCTTTAGACGTTTTCCCTTGGCTTCTGAACGTTCCACTACAGGTCTTCTTGGGATTTATTTTCCGAAAATCAAAGAAGTTAACATGATCCAGTCGTCTTCTTTTTGCGGTTGCTTGGTCTTCTACGAGTTTGTTTAGGCAATATGCAAAGTTTGCGCTGATTCTGTCTTCTTCAAGTTTCTTGTTTATTTGATTTATTTCGGTCAGTATATCGATAGCCTCTCGGATCTTGCGTTTTCTCGTATTTTCACAATATACAGCCAGCCTTTCTGTATATTTTCAGTCGATTTCGTGTAATATGTTCAGTTATTTCGGATCGTTCCCTATCCATGTTTTTGTAGACTTTTATATTCCTTGATTAGTAAACTGATTTTTCGTCCTTCTTCACAATATACTACTGCTCACAATTGCCGATATTGATGCGGGAAACCCCAGGGCAATCCAGTTTGTCAGCCTTCTCGTGTTGTGTCGTGACTTCTCCCTTGTTATCACCCTGATATTTAATTTTATGAGTAACTCACAATCTTTGGCTCAGTTCACATGAGGGCAGGCATATCTATTTATGGTTATCCTCCTCATTCCTGATCGGATTTTCACAAAATCCGAGTTGGAAGCTGCTCTTTATAACCGCTACACTTTTTCTATAAATTATCTGGGCTACCGGTTACTAAGGTAAATCCGTGTCAGTTTGTCCAACTTCTCATCCCAGAACTCAGTGTCCGTTAGTCGCAAGTTTCTGATATTCAAACTCCTCAATATTCCGATCTTCAAACTATAGTTATGGTGAGACTGAAATTTAAGGATTATTCCCGCATACGATTTTTTTATGAATAGTCTCCTCATCAATGTCTGGTCGGAGAGCATGACTTCAATATTCAGCCTCCACCTACATTTAGAATGTAATTATTTCATAAAATTGGTGAATGAAATTAAGGAATTCCTTTAAAATTTCCTTATCATGTGACTTAAGTGCAAAAAAGTCATCCAAGTATCGCATAAGCACTCATGGTTGCAGTGGTGACATCTAAAATTCCCTTTCCAATTTCTCCATGTATACATTTGCCAAAACAGGTGATAGTAGAGATCCCATCAGTAGTCCAAATATTTGCTCGTAGATACTGACGTTAAATGTAACATAGGTGATCCTCACTGTCAGGTTGATTAGTCGTGTCAAAGACTCCTTTCATTTCCGTTCTGCCTACAGGATATCCTCTTCTCGCTCCAATATCTCAAGCAAGGCGCTTATCACCTCACTTGAGATATTTGTGTACATGGACTGTACATCAAACTTAACTACAGTTCCGTTCCCATATGAACTCTTCATGGTATTCGAGGGTCTGTCATCTACTTTTTTGAGCTTAAAGCAAATGGATTTCGCTAGTTTGTGTTGCTCCATGCTTGCAATTGACTACTAATCTTAGCGAATTTCATTCCTTGTATATCCCCGATAGTCCGTAGGCTGTCAACGGTCTTGTGTCATTTCTCATTAGAGATTTCATCATCTGTCTGTCAATTTCTCCATTATTATGAATTTCCTTTACCATTTTATTCAGTGTACGTTTGATCTTTATCGTTGGATCTGTCCGGTAGCTTAGGATGCTTTCCATTTTCTCCGTGTACTGCTTCCTGCCCATTACAACCGTCGCTCCTTCCTTATTCTCCTGAAGAACTAGTTGATCATTGCTTTGTAATTTTTTTCTGTATAACAGACAATCCCCTTTTGTGTATCGGTTCTTGATGTGCCAGAATTCGTGGGATTATCTGCATTTCCATCCCCATTACAACCCTCCTTTAGGAGATCCATGGTTTCCTAGGTAACGAAGGAAACATTCTTAATGATATTCTTGTAGATGTCGAAATATTAGATAAATATCCAAAAGACAAAGCGGGAGATGGAAATGGAAGCAATCCCATGGATCCTGGCACATCCAGAACTGATACACATGAGCGGATTGACTGGCTTAATGAAAAAATTGCAACTGTTTAGCAGACAATTAGTCAAAGGATCAGCTTCAATTGTCTCTTCGATAAGTTGTAGTGTGGTGCTAAGAATTGCAAGGCTCACTGAAGATGCCGGCGAAACATCTGGGAATCTGCCACGTCCATTGTCCGATTCTGGAAATTATCATTCATACTATGGACTCCGGACTAGGTGCATTACTATAGGCCTTCATATCAATATGACCAAATTGCGGAGACAAGGTAAAACAACTTCAATAAAATATTACATTTGCTCTTGGTGAACTAGAAAAGCATAAATATGAATAAAGTATAAATGCATTAGGAGATTTGAGAAACAAAGGCCTCGAAGGACATCAATATTGGGTAGGAAAGTCCTCACTAAGTCTAAGTATATAATGATCTATTCATAAGTGTAATTACTGAGACTGCAAACCAGTTTAGGTTGGTAAAATATATCAAAATTTTTCCACAATATCCAGATTGCATAGTATTACAGATATAGAGAATTAGTGTAGGGAATGTGTAAATTTATATATTCTTTCTAGAGCCTGTATATGCATAAATATGGGATCCGCAATTGCTAAAAAGCAAAAAAACGAGATTCAGGGAGTAAGTATTCCAACTATTCTCAAAATCAATTCTGCGATGTTCTAACAAATAGATGAATATTTTAAAATAGAGGAGCATACATATCCTATTAGTCACAAAAGCGTTAAGATAAAAATAACGCAATTATTTTGCCGACAATAAATATAAAGAATATAATTTGGGATAAGATAAATAAATGGCTAATCAGTCAATGATATAGAGTGAATGTCAATGTGCCTCCTAGATTATTTCATAATGAAGCATGCTCAAATTTTCTATACCACAGTCCTACTACATAAATTCAACATAGATATCAAAAGAAACTCAATGAACTTTGATGTTTAAAATTATGGAGTCGCAATAGGCTTATAGTGACCTAGCCTTACACGTTTCCCTCACAGCCTAAATGTAGCAATGGCTCAACAGCCTTGGGCACATAAATCACGTGAGTGCATGAATAGTCTTCACTTTTTAAATCACATCGACTAATCAAGGCTTGGCCGCGTATCATCCAATAAGAAAGGGCATATCAAGTAGCTACGATATTGGGTGAATACATCTCATAGCTAACATACTGTTTAGATTGTTTACGTTTCTTTCCCTCCATTTACCCTCTCTTCTGTGACCCGCGGGGTTTAGACTTTTTTATTTCTTTCTGCCTTTGAATAATTGTCTTTCTTTGGTCGACACCGCATACTGTATTTAGCTGTTTCAATATAGAAAACTTGGTAATACCATTTTTCCTTTTCGCTCTTCGTTTCAGGGCCTCCAACTGTGGAGTTGTAGAGTGCAAGCATTTTATATTTTATAGACAGTCCACCTTCTTCTTTTGAATCATTAAAGGTTTGTAAAACGCACTAAATTAACATCAGTATTAATCGAAGATATGAAGACCAAAATGATGAGCCTAAATAAGGCAAACAAACAACTATAGTATTTGGAAGTTGGCACACAAAAGATTGGGACATAGGAAAGTCACAGACTTAGCGTTAGGGATGGGAACTCAAGAGATGCAGCGGATACCAGAGATTGTTGGTTAATAGTATACGGCTTAGATCACGGACGTAAAGGATTGACAACGAAATTTACCAGATTCAAATGCAGAGCGGTGATAATGGAATTGACAGCGTCAAGTAAGTTTAACA